TCTCAGGTTCCTCTTGCTTCAATAGCAGTCTAGGAATAGGCACCAAAAGACTTTGGGAAGCAAGACAGGATGTTTTTTTTTTTTTCACATCGAAAATCCATTACGGTTATCCGCCGGATGTGACCATCACTCTCCCGCAATACCCGCTGGAGAGACGTCACAGGTGAGGGGAGGTGAAACGACCTTGTGAAGGCCCACCCGATACTGCAAAGGTGAATAGACAGATTAGGATCTCCTGGGCACTGCTGTTATGTGGACGAAAGGGCAGAAGGGATAGAGTAATATTGGAAGAGAAGCAAGCTCCCAAACTATCTATCAAATATCAAACGAGGTGTTGCAGCCTGAGGCACCAACTCTATAGTGGCCTTGGGCACCACACCATAACAGAATCTCGTGAGTGCCCAGGTGCCCTCCTTTGATTATGTACAACATAGTCTCTATTCTTGTGGTGGAATTTCAAGGATCTGGTAATTAAGGGAGTTTACGAACCAAATTGCACGGGAGAGCCCTGAAGAGAGAACGTGGGGATTCGACGGGGTAATTAGTCTGGCCAATTAATTTCTAGGCAAACAATTAATTTTTAAAGCCATGCAACCTGTCTGGTCTGAGAGGTTAATTTATATGGCCGTACTTAAGATCCTAGAGCATTTTGTCTGTAAAAATGTAAATAGCTTACTGCAAACCCGGTTGAGTATGAGATTGTTCATTTCGTCGAATCTGCAAGTGACAAGCCCAAGGCAGAATCCCCTAATGACTGAGGCAAAGCGCGAACCAATTATAAACTTATACGGAGCTGCGCAAATAACAAGAAAGTGGCGTCCCTTTGCGACCCCATGGGAACTGCCATATTTGTTGAGAATGAGCCAAGTCATGCATAGTGTCTTGCACCGTTAGATCCAGTGGAAACAACGCACCAAACAGCCCAGATCAATTAGGTCTGCATACACTGGGCAGGCCTGGGTATGCAGGCTACCATCGAATACCAGCTATTTAACTACAGACAATTTCCGGTGACGGCCATAATCCCATTTCCTCTTGGTTTACCTTCGTCTGATTAAAGCTACCATATACTATCCGCCGATTGCTATCAATATCAGAGATCTTACACTGCCCATTTCTATCCATCAATATTGACTACAGTTGAGAGACAGTTATTCAAAACCAGCAGAACATCATTCTGGTGGATTAAAATCAGTTCCACTGCCTAAATCTTGGTCTATTCTATAAATAATAATAAGACTGAGAAGGGAAACCCGCGGCAGGCGTTGGTGTACGCTAAACTTCCCCTCTCAAAGCTGCACGAACTGAAAAATAAAACTTTTAGATGCGGATAGTCTCGTCGAGTTCAAAGAATCACCACAGAAAGCTCTGGGTGTGTTTGCGAACCCAAGATACCTCGTGGCACCCGTGTCATCTCAGAACAAGCCCTACTCGAAGTCGATAGCGACACTGTAACTAGGAACAACATCGTGACAGCCTTCGAACGTCTTCCGCCTCCCCATCAATAATCATACTTAGAGCTCCATGGGTATGCGTGCGAATTATTCAAGCTCGCTACCGAGTATGAGATCGGAAAGAGGTTGGGGGAAATGCCGGAACCGCACCGTAAAGTGCTCTCCATCTATGCAGCCAACGCCTTTGACTCCGTGTTCTTCCTCGGCTCTCGCATTAACCACTCATGCGTTCCAAATGCTATCTTCGCATACAACTCAATGCTCAGAGAAGAGACATTCCATGGCATACGCGACATCATCGCCGGCTAAGAGCTTACAATCACGTACATCAATGGAACCAATCTCACCAGAACCCAGCGCTAGGTCGAACGAACAAATGGGAATTCCAATGTACTTGCCCGGTATGCGAGAATACTGTTCAAAGCAGACAGGGAGAGAAGAAAAGGGCTGAGTTGTTCATCCTTGATATAGAACTCGAAAATACACATTTCGTACAGATGAGGCTTACAGAAGGGGGCTGCAGATGGTGCAGAGAATGGCAGCCATACAAAAGGCGGAATGTTTGCTGAATAGACAGCTTAGAATCTCATGAGTGGCCTCCTTTAATTATCTAGTCTCTATTCTTACATTATCTTTAAGCTACTACGATGCGGCTAGGTACTGTCTGAAATTGAAGGAGCAAAAAATGGCACTTTTGTGGGCTGAGAAAGTGCTCGAAGTTGACCTTTACTGCGTCGGAGAAGACTATCCTGAATATAAGGAAGTGCTTGCGATTGTGTACGGGATGAGAGATGCTTTATCTGTGCCAAAGCCATTCCCTGAGCACTTGGTGGAATGGCTCATGAAAGATTGACCTGCGGAACCATGTATCCTTATGTGAATGACTTGACTGAAAAGGTATAATTTATCGAGTGGCAGTGAGGATAACAAGTCGCAGAATATTGAAGCTGGGTGGCTTTCTTCGGGGGGGCGATAGACGGTGTGGGTTGTCAATAGAGATAGGTCCGCAATGACACATTGACCAGCTGTCATCCCTAAGGGTATGTTTTTATCGTGACCGTTGGCCTGATCCCGAGTTGCTTGGAGTGGGATTCCTGTCTCAACGCAAATTCTGAAATAACCGGAGACCGTAGGAATAGGAACTTAGACTGCTCGACTGCCACGGTCAGATCAATAGGATGAGTCTGTAGAGCAACTTGATGAATTAAGTCCAAACTGGATGAACAGTATGGCTAGGGGTTGGCTAGGGAGGAAATTCTTGCGATTGCCAGGTCTCCCATACCCCCTAAAACTGATAGTCCAATAAGATCTGGCAGATGACATTCTACTTACTGCCAAAGTGCCTGCTAGATGACGAAATAAAAAACGCGATTGTGTCACAACGCTTTAACAATTGGACTAAGACTAGAGATCCACCACCTATTTGACTTCCAGTCAATCACCAGAAGCGCCCGATCAGACCACCCTGGCATACTACAGGGATTGTACCGATTGCGAGAGAGCAGGGTTGCGCATCGACAACCAAGTACCTAACTTGATCTCATATTTTGAGCGTCTGGGCATTATGGTCAAGATCTCTAAGCTCACCGGGATCGAAACAAGACATGAACATATGTTCTAGAACAAAGCCAATTTGGTGTAATATGCCTGTTAGGTGCGACCTTGCCGTAAGGGTCGGAGATGCTTCGGGTAAATCCTGGAACTGATACCGTTTCCCTTTTCCCATTTCCCTGGATGGATTCCGACACCACTTCATGGTGGTGCTATTTTTTCATTAAGGGAGCGAAGGTTAGAAGTGCTAGGTGAACGACTGCCCAGAAAAGTCAAGGGCTACTCCTTACATACTGTAACATCGAGCAGCTTTCTTGGGGTTCCCCGCAAAAGCGACTTCGTGGTCACCCCTGCATATGAATGCATGCACCCGAGGAGCACCGAGAATACATCGTGCCATCTCATACAGATACGAGAAAGATAGAAGCTGTTCCATGGCGTGCTTGGGATCGAGACCTCCAAATCTTACACAGGACCCCGTATCTATACAACCTATCTAGAAGTTTGGCGCAAAGCGGATCCGGGGACCAAGGACATGGAATTCCGAGATATAATAATGAGGCTATGTTGTATTAGCGGCAAGGGCGAGAAATGAGTCCAAAAAAGAAAGCAAAAGGACCAATAATTTAACTGACTGAATCACTAGTCGACATAGATGCCAAGGTTCTCATATAAAACAAGCCAGACGCCATCCCATCTAGTCAAGCAGAGGCTGAAGCCAAAGAGCATCTCCGAGGAGAAGCACAATGTACAATGTGATCCGTATAGCGGAGATCGTGTTCCCATGAGCACGGTTGTGCAACCGGACGGGCTGCAGATCCGACCGTATCTTCGAGTCAGCTGCCTGAGATGAGATGAGCGGCGCGACGCCACATTATTTCCTTTTTACTCCATTCTGTCGGTTGCTTCTTCTCTTGTATGTCGCCATAATATCTAGTATGGGTAGCCAAGAGAATCCACAGGTCTTGGATATGTACCTATGTAACCTGAGTAGTTGCAGGAACGTCTTGCGTGATATGGTCAAAAGCGTCGAGGAATGTACTAGCAAGACTAGCAAGCGACCAGACAAGGTGGAATAGGTAAAAGTAGATAGCTGATACGTCTGTAAAATGCCAAGAGTGACATGGTTAGCCTCGTGGTGCCATTTTAAGTTAAGGGCGCAGCTCTACGACGGATGCCCAGATGTACAGTACGGATTAGGTAGCACTGCTTTAGTACTTTGGTATTTAGCGTATCTCGCCAGACGCGGGCCAACGATAAAGCTCGATGACGTGATTTAGATCTTGATTGCGCCTTTACAAAGTGGGTGAAAAATATGCAGGGCAACAGGGGAAAGACATGCATATTGTAAGCGCCATATAGATTGTATATGCTCAAACCAGGGCCGTTGGAGCATCTGTTATAGCGCAAGAGGCAACTGCGGCCCTTTTTCCTCTACTGGATTGAGATATCAGGCGCATTCCGGTGTAGCCAAGGTTCTGTGGAGATC